TGTGATAGGGAATGGCAAAGGACACACTGACAAAGAAGATTAATCAGAACTGGCTTTGACAAGCACTGTGGCATTTGGATAAGAACAAACTGGGAGGAGGGTAGAGAGAATAGTGCAACAATGAATGAGTGGAAGCCCAAAATCTCTGTAAATGTTTACTCAAATTAATAATAAAAAAGAAAATTAAAAACAGAAAAAACATATTTTAGGTAATTATCTAATACTCTTTCTTTACAACTTATGTAAATGTTGAAACTACTGAACCATTGCAGATCCTTATTAAGATGATGGTGATTAGATTGGGGAAAAGAAATCCACAGATTATACTTTGTGAGGGAACCACACGTTTGTTTATCATCTTCTGGTTTGTCCATAACGTTTTGTTGGGTTTTTGTTTTGCTTGTTTTGAATTCTGACATGCAAGATTAGTTACAATGATGTTCTCTTGCTGTCCCTCTGGAATGGTAAAGCTTAATCACTGACTTATGTAACAAGGTACCTTGCTTGTAAATTTTCCAAGGAGGCTCCTTTTGTTGACAGTCCTAATGTCTACCATCTGCTTGCACGGGATGAAGCCCTGGTGCTCCTCTAATTGGCAATAAATTAGGTACCAGCAGAAGGCTTTTGACAGAATCCTTAAGTTACAGTTTGAGCTTGTTATTTTTTAAAAATTTTAGCTTTTTCAGCTGTGAATTCAACATGTGATGGAAAGTCCAACTTTCTCTCCTATGATTAGAGGAAAACACTTGAGTCCTTTGCTCAATCTGTCTTTTTCATATTTATATTTAAATTCAATATTCAAAGTAGACTTATTCTGATTAGATCAGAAAAGCCCTAAAACTTAAGATATTCTAATGGCTTCTATAAAAAGAAGGGCGCATTCACAAAATGTTTACTACCTGTCTTGTTTTGAGAATACACCTTACATTGTGTTAAATTGTTTGATCTGCACAGTACGTTTATAGCATGCATGGTATTACCCCATTTTGCAGACAGGGTGTGTAAAACTTAAGTTCTGTGCCCACAGCATCATAAAAACAATGCAACCAGGAATGGAATACTCAGGTTTTGACAATACTCATGGTCTTCCCATTGCACAATGTATATGCCTCATTTTGAAAAGATAAAATGAGGGAGAGGGCAAAGATAAGGCACTATATGATGCTTCTCCATCTCTTGCAACCTCAGTTAACAAAAATGAAGTGACTGAATTAGATGAAACATAAGGTCTCATGCACTTTCTTTCTTCAAGGTCTATAATGTAGCATACAATGTTACCAAATCTTTAAATTTTTATAACTTTCTATTTCTATTCTCTAAAAAACATCATTAATTTTCCAATTTAGATCCCATGCAGGTGAATACAGCGCAAAACACACTGAAGATATTATATGGATTAATTACCTCCCTAATCACTCGGGAACCCTTCAAACTCCTACCACCACCTTCACTCTCTTTTTCACCAGGTTTGAGATTTCTTCAAGTCTATCCACATGCCCCTCTTCAGGAGAAAAGTGGGCAGGTGGGCAGTCTTCTCCCATACAGCTTTATAAGCCTTGACACCATATGGTGGGTTACTATGAGTTCGACATGGTTTCACAGCAGTGGGTTAGTTGTTTGGGTTTTTTTTTTTTTAATTTTATAGAGATCAGATGAAGGCCATCCATCATTCCATGTTTCCTCATCTTATTAACCATTTTCATTCATCCTCGGCTGCTACCTCTGAAAAGGTCTCATTTCTGTTAAATATTCCCTTTAGTATTTCATTTGCTTAATGGACCAGATGTCTATCTTTATTTCTTCCTATTCTCATGAAACCTCCCAGTACCTTGCTAATGGCTCAGACTCCCTTCTACTTTCTCTGTTCTCTTTTCTTACCAAATGTTTGGAAGGAAGAACTCCTTGGGCTCAGTGGTGTCACTTCCTCCCTGCCCACTCCACAATCACTTTGCCTTTGATTTCAAACCATACTTAAGCTCTATTTTCTTTCACTCATCCTGCCTCTCCTTGTATGAAACTGTTTAATGACTCTAGGAGTACAAAAATTCCTTGAAAGTTTCTGTTCTCTTCAGCTTCAGAATGTCCCTCTTTGCAACCTGGATTCCATTCTCATCACTTTACTAAAACTAATTCCAGCCTCTGGATACTAAGTCTATATTGGCCTTCTATCTCTCTACCTCTCAGCTTTGCACTAGCATTTAACACTGCTGACTGTCCCATTTTTTTCTTGGCAATTTCTTTAAGTTTTTCTGAAATTTTATAGGATAAAAATCCAATTGCTAACCTCTCAATTTTCTTTACAAATTTTTCTTCCACTGACACTTAAATTTAAGAACCCTAAATTCTATACTTTTGTCTTTTTCTTTTCTCTACTCTTTATGTAATTCTGTCTTGTGCTTCATCTCTTAAATCTACACAGGAAAATGATAAGTTTATATCTCTAATAAGGGTTCCTGTTCCATATTCAAAACTCTTACAAGGTACCTATTCTTGGATGTCCACACTAGATGTCAAATTCATCATATCCAGAGTACAATACATATTCCATCATTCTTTCCAAAGCATTTCTTCTTCTAAAATCATTTTTAGGAAGCTCTGATAACCTACTGGGGATCGGCTTCCAACCAATAGGTGGGCAGTTCAAACCCACTGGCTGCTCCATAGGAGGAAAATAGGCAATATCCTCCTGTACAATGTACAGCTGCTGGACAGTCTGCAATGAGTGGGTCCCAACTGGACAGCATATCTACAATCCAATCCAATCCTTGTTGGTCTTCTTAGTCATGACTCCATCACTAATCTCTTCTTGACTCTGTATGTTCAATAACATATTAGCTGAAGCCTTCTGATTTTAGTTCTTCATTCTTATATATTCTCTCTGTAAGTTTTCTCATGAGCATCAATTAGATATAGATTGTCCTAGTAGAATCTGCCTTCAGCCTCTTTCATTGCTAAATTAACCTACTGAATTCATAGTTGGAGTAACATCATTTTACTCTATTAAACTCTGGGTTACCCATCTCCCAATATTCATAATTTTCTGCCAACCAGCTCCAAGATGTTTTCAAACTTATTTCCTTACTTCTGTCACAAAATTTCACTCTAGCCAGTTGAAAGTTTGTAAGATTTTGTGTTATTCATGCTAATTTGTTTTCTTTATTGCTCCTCCTATATGTCCACAGCAGAGATTGCAAAGATGGCACAGGAACAAGCAAATTTTTATTGCTATTGTACACAAGATCTCTAAGAGCTGAAGCTAACTCAAGGGAACCTAAGAGTAACATATATTCAGAACCAGCAAAAACTATCATTTTTCCCCATGAAGACTTAACTTGATTCTCTGTGGTTAGGATTCGTCATCACCCTTTCTGGACATGCATGAGAGTTTATTCTGGATACTTCTTACCTTCTCCTTTGCAGGATACATTTTTGTAAGCACGTGGCTTTTTCTTATTAAAATATAACATCCCAAGCAAAGACACATGCTGTCCCTTCATTTCTTTCCTCAGAACCTAGCACAATAATTTCACAAACTGTTGTTGTTGTGAATTACCACTGAGTTGGAAGCAACGCGTTCTGACCCTCTAGTGGGTTTTCAGAAGCAGTAGATCAAATTGGAAAAGATTGTCTGTCTTCTCCCCACAGAGCAGCTGGTGGATTCGAACAACATGTCTTTGGGATGACTGCACAGCTTCTTAGCACCAGGCCACCAGAGCTCCCTTGTAAAATTTTAGTATCGTCAGTACAATGTTAGATGAATAAGGAAGAAATAAGTAGGATACTGTTATTTCTATTAGGTAAAGAATATTGTCTTAGGAGATATTCATAGATGGATATACTTTTGATTCTATAGCTAAAACAACAACAAAAACAACAGTAACAAAACCCAAACACCAGGGAGCTCTGGTGGCTGGCCTAGTGGCAAAAAGTTGCACTGCAATCCCAGAGGTAATCTGTTCAAATCCACCAAATGCTCTGCTGGAGAAGGAGGGGCAGTCTCCTCCTGAACCAGTCAGTATCTGTAGTCTGAACATCTCTGACTCTCCATTTCATGCCCTGCATAGAGACTAACGGGTATCCTAACTGAAACAGCTCCACTAAAAACCATGTAAAAGTATGATTTAGGGTTTATTTCCTTGGGCTTGGTCCTTAGATCTTCTATATGCACCCCAAGGAGGAAAATGGTTCCTAGTTTGTGTGCATACAGTACTCTTTGAGAGCTGAATACCTAATATTTGTAGCATAAACAATAAAGAACTCACATTTGAGAGTATTAAACAAAAATGGAGATAAAATAAAAGGAAGGGCACCAGTGGGAAAACACTGATTGGTACCCCAAATCACTGTCTAAAACTGTTGCTTATTGCAGGAAGTGAGGCGTAGAACAGAGGAAAGAAGCATGAAAACACACTTAATCATAATAATATTTAAATTTAAAAATAGCTAACATGGGTTTATTGCCTACTGACTAATAAAAATATTTAGTCAAAACCTTAGTCGCATATTTCCATTAATCATTCCAATATCCCTATATTGTGTAAATTGTTGGTGTTGTGTGCTGTTGAGTAGGAATCAACCCACAGTTGACCCTTCAGCTGGTTTTCAGATGCAGCAAATCACATGGGAAGGAATTGTTCATCCTTGTCCCATGGAGTAGCTGGTGGATTCAAACTGTGTGCCTTTGGGATTGCTCCACAGCTTCTTACCACTAGGCTACTGAAGCTCCCTACACTGTATACAGGATCTTCATTTTACAAACAAGCTAACGTAGGTCAAGTGCAATGTGATTAAGTAACCTTGTTAAAAATCACAAAGCTAAACTGTCACAGAGCCAGTCACTTCTGGGAGAATGAGGGATGAAAATAAAATATAGAATTCATGATAAAATGAAGTTATATGGAACAAATATTAATAGTTCTATAAAATGATTTTTAATTCCAGAAACTTGTGCATGTCACTGAAATCACTGTGCAACAGTTGTAATAAAGCCATGTACTTACTCTCTGTCAATCACTAAGCAGGTTACAGCTTCTGCAGCAATTACATTTGCTGTTCTTACATCTTCTCTGTATATAAAAAAAAAGAGAGAAAGATTTAAGTGAAACAACATCAAATATCAAATATGAGTGTTCACTGTCATTAATTCAGGCCACATATCAAATTATAACCATTCTCATTTATTCACTTCTAAATTTAAGCTTTGTTCATGCTTCAAATTTCTCTGTTCTGAGAAACCTCCTTCCTCTTGTCATTTGTCTCACAAATCCAGTGGTTATAACTTCCAAATTTGAATCTTCACCTGAACACCTTCAGTAAAATCGGATAGCATCCTCTTGGGTAATGAATTAATTAAATGAATGATGATAAGGACAGTAATGAGCATGATTACAGGGGTTTTTAAAGGACCTGGAGGGAAAGAATTCTCCTGGATCTTCTACAAAGAAACAACAAAAAGTAAAGGAACATCGTGAAAATATTATCACAGAATGTGAACCAAGAATCATAAAACACAAATCTCCAATGATCAGTTATGACATAAAAATATTATTGGCCTCACTGTCAGAGAAATAGAAAAACCTTCTCTCACATTTCAAATTTACAAAATCTTCAGAGACTGGGAAAACTGAAGAGATTCTTCCCCAGAAAAACTTCAGATGTTCTGCTGTCATCTTGCTGAAAGGTTAGTTGGAAATATGCATGCAATATATATCCCATTTTGGAGGATTTCTGTATGTAAATAATTCATTGTAAAACAGAATATATTATTGCACTATTCATCTTAGTGAGTTGTACCACTAACCCAAAGTTCAAGTCCCTCTGGTGATTAGAATCTACCAGCACCTTCCATGGGAGAATGATGGGCAATTACTTCCCTGTAATTTATAGCGGTCAGAAACCCGATGGAAAGTTAGCTGTGAACCAATTCAGACCCCATGGAACTGACAGACAGAACCACAAAAAGAGAGGCAGATACAGAGACACATAGAAAATGTGTTAGTCAAAAAGCTACTAAAGAGAATCTGTACAAATAGATGAACAAATTGTGACACTGAAAATTTTGTGATCTTTAAAAAGAATGAGTTACAAAAATATGTACTAACAAAAGCCAGTAACTCTATAGTCTTTTGTTTGGTGTAATACATTAAGTAAAAAATGAAAAAAACAAGTTTCAGAGCAATTTGTAGGGGAAATGCTTTATTTAAAGCATTGTTGTTGTTGTTGTCATTGTTATGTGTTACTGAATTGCCTGTGACAGAAACCGTATGTACAATATCTCTGCCCTATACTGAGCCAGTCTCACTATCTGCGAAACCTTTACTCTCATTACCCCAGTTACTGTGTCAATCCATTTTATCCAAGGTCTTCCTTTCCTGTGTGGTCCCTCCACCCTTCCTTCGAAGCATGATGTCCTTCTCAAAGGACCAGTCCTTCCTGGCCACATGCTCAAGTATATGAGACAGAGATTACTACTATATAAATCTGAGTGAAGACTCTCAACCAGTTTGATCAACACACTGACTGCTTCAATGGGTTTGAGTGTGTCAGAGATTATAAGGATAGGATAGGCTTCAGATCTTTATTTTTTTAATGGAAATTTTAATGAAATATTATAGAGAACTTGGATTTCCATTCATTCATTGTTGCAGATCTTTTGTTCTTAGGGTCACTAGGAGTTGTACACAACTTGATAGCACCTAACAACAACTATATAAATGTTTTTTTACAAATATGTTCTACAACTATGAAAATGTGTATTCAGCAATACCCATCAGATTGCTAATACTAATTATTGTTACCACAGTTTTGGAAGTTGATTATGAATTTCTATTTTAGTATTTTTCCATTGTTTAACTTGTAATGACTAGACAAATCATACATATAATCTCATAAAAATATCTAACTTTGATATGATCAAAATCTGATCACTTCAATTACTGAATTTGATTTTTTGACTAATACCCACAAATATATTGCTATGTTATTATCCACTACTCCAGGCTTCCTCAGGGAGCTCTGATGATTTAATGGTAAGGAGTTGTGCTGCTAACCTAAAGTCACATGGTTCAAAGTGTCCAGCTTCTCTATGGGAGAAACATGGGCAATCTCCTCCCATGTGAGTAACAGACTCTGAAAACCCGTTGGCAGGTCAGCTATGATTTGGTTCTGATGTGAAAGCACATAATATTTGACTTCCTGAATGTCTTTATACTCAGTCACCCTAGTTAGCAAGAAGACTTAAAGTTTCAGAAATTTCAAACATTTTTAACTGAGACGGAATCCTTTTCATCCATTGTCTGTGAATTAGCCACGCTTCCATCTCCATCTTACTCAACATATGCCACACACAGAACCTCCTCCCTCGCTCCATTCCTCCTTGTTCTGAGGTATTTGGGCCTCTACTCCCAATTTGAATCTCCTGCTGTTCTTGATGTTGTTTGTCGTCTCACACTCATTCTCCCAGTGCCGCTCAACTTTCCTCACATTCTCTGCTCTTCAAGCTAAATGAACTCCTTTCTATTACTGAGTATATATCCCTCTTGTCCCGAGTTCTTATATGCTTTCCCAGGACCTAGGAAGCTCATCTTCAACTCTCTGCCTAATTCACCTTTGCTTATCCTTTAGATTTTAGCCTCAGAACTCCTCAACCTAGAATGTCATCCTGAATTGATTGGGTCAGGTTCTCTTTATTTGATTTTATGACCCTAGTTACCTCTCATTTAACCCATCTCAGTGAAAATGGCCCCTTTATTTGACTGTTTGACTACAGGCTCCACTTTTCTCTACTAAACCATCTCCTCATATGGCAGCAACCATGTCTACTTTTGCTTCTCATTTTTTTCCAGTATCTGACACAAGGCAGCACTTAGGAAGGGAGTGCTGGAAGAATGGCATAAATATAATAGTCTTGAGTTTGGGGACAGCAGAGCAAAGATCAGAATTTGGACTAAGTTATATTGGCTTTACATCTCAACTCCACCACTCAGAAACCCTGTAAAATTCCCAGTTTCCTCCTCTTTAAAATGGGAAAAGTACAAGTGCCTACTCATTCTCTCTCTCTCCCTTGCTCTTTCTTATCAAGTCAGAGCCAGCTCATAGGTGACCGACCGTCCAGAAGGTTTTTAGAGGTTGTAAATCATACAGGAGGATACTGTCTTTCTCCTGCAGAGCCACTGATGGATTCAAACCACCAGATACATATTGACTTCAGGCAACAGTGCAACTCTCCCCCCCCCAGCCTACACTATTATAGTTCTGTATTGAATATGTAGTCAAAATAATAAACATTATTCCTATTATGCTGCTCAACAAACAGAAAGTAGAGTGTATTTAATGCCATTTTTTACTATTAAGTTTCTCATCACAATAATCATCACGTCTGTAATGTGGAACCTTTGCCTTGTGTTATCAACCATAAGGTATGCAGTTCAAATCTATCAGCTGTGCTATGGGAGAAAGATGAGTAATCTCTTGCAAAATTTAAAGCCTCTTAAAACCCACTGGAGTGTCAGTTATGAGTCAGTTCTGATTCAATTACAAACAGCATCATTGGTATTTATTTTGACAATACAGGAATAAAATGGGATGATCTTTCTGCTCCATAGATGTAGTAAACAAGAGCCATATATTTCCAACTCCACTATGACTTTTAATGGAGACAGACTTTTTGGTGAACAAAATAAACAGAAAAATGTGAGTAGTACTAAGTACTCCTCTTTGACAAGAACTTTTTTCCCCCTTTAGGAGGTTGTTTATAGTAACATGTATTATTACAAATTGGTTGGTTTTAAAAATAAGCAAGCAAGTAATTCTCTTAATCTTACAGAAAATACATTAAAACTAGTTTTTCCTTTTCATCGGTATTTATTTTGACAATACAGAAATATCTCACAGAAGTTTAAAAAATGTAATACATGACCAAATAATGCTTCATTAGGATTCTATTTTCTACACAAATATTTATAAACTTTCATCACATTTCCAATATTTTAAAATGTAATCTTTTGTGGCCTATCTAGATTTATTTTGAAAACTGAATGCAATTTTTTTGCAACAAAAATAAGGTACTTTGATATTTTAAGCTCTATATAGAGGACGCCATGGGTCAGAGGAGTGATTTATGCCATAACATTGAAAATATTGCTATTTTAAAAATAAAAATTGGCAAGCTACTGGTCTAGAACCAGGCTTCATGTCTTGCTTGCAAAGTGGCATGTATTTAAAACAGAACAAATAGATAATACTGGGCGGAAACAACATATTAAAAGTAAGTGGTGATAATTTCCATTTATTGAGCCATGAACAATCAGATAAGCCATTTTGATTTTCACTTATTATAATTACCATTTGTGACTATGCTTCAACACTACTATTTTTCAAAAAAAATAATAATGTTGGAAACAGGAGTGACATCCACTTCCTAAACCACATGCCTCTAGAAACTCTATGAACTTTGAGAAACAACGATAGCTACAAAAAGGCTTCAGGGCTTCTGGATTGCAGGGCAGCTTCTTACCACTAGACCATAAGAGCTCCCAAGGCTTCAGGTCTTTTGTTCATAGGGTTGCTATGAGTCAAGCTTGACTCAACAACAATCAAAAACAACGATAATGTTATACATTATTGTAATAGGAATAGGAAAAAAGTTAATTAAATACCAAACTTTTTTGCTATTTCAGTGTCATTATGTGTATGCTGTTAAGGTGTTGGCATATAAACTGCAGACGTACTGTATATGTTTGTTCCATTTTATGGTCCCAGCACTAATCTAAAAGCAGATTTCATTTGGATTTTGATATAAAATATTACCTTGTTATATAAAAGAGAGGTCTTAATAATTCAAAGTCCTTTTATCTTACCTCTATCCTAACAGCTGTTATGATAATAACTTGTACACAGACTATCTACCAGTTTAATTTTGTTTTTAAAGCATAGAGCACAGATATTTTGAGAACTAGAATTTTAAAACAAGCCCTAACTATTCAATTAAAAACTTTGCCTAGTATACATGGGTTTTGAAGAAAGAGAATACCAGGTCTCAATAATAAAAGTATCTGTACCTATTTTG